TACAATTTAAAGCAATTGTTATAACACTTATTAGGTTTGTGACAATTATTTTACTCCTTTTTTACAGAACTTCCCCATCTTAATTAATTATTTATTCTTTTTTATTATTTGAATCATTTTTAATAGGTTTTTTAAATTACCAAAAAGAAAAAACAATTAAGATAGGGAAATTGATAAAAAAAAGAGATGATATTATTGTAACTCTGTTAAAAATATTTGTTTGTAGTAAGAGCTTTTAAAAAGAAGAAAGTTAAAAAAAAAAAATTATATATGGTAAGTAGTACTGCTTACCAATTTTAAATGAATAAACTACAAATCATTTTCAAAATGTTAATGATATTGACATATCATTTGACTCTGATCAGAATTATATTGTGTTTTTATATGTTTACATTTTGAAAACAATGCATTTGTTTGTTTAATTTACTTTAAAATTTAGGTTACATAAAATTTTTGTTCTAATAAAATTATGTTTATTTACAGAGCAAAATGTGATACTGCCATTTCCAATATCCCAAAAGCTATATCGATGTCGCTTTTGTACCTACACTACTTACCATGGGACTAACCTCAAAAATCATGAAGCCAAACATTTAGGCATAAGACCATATAAATGCTCCATTTGTGGTAAAAAATTCATTCAAAAAATACATTTAAAAAGTCATATGTTATCTCATGAACGATAAGACCTAACAAGAAATGTGTAATATTAACTTGTATATTATTAATTTTTAAAAACTCCATTGGTTTTAATGTATGCAATTTTCATATGCAAATTTTATACTGTTTTGTTCCTCATACTAAAAAATCAACTTTTTTTTTAAAGTTAATTTTGTCTATTGCTAAGCTGTGATTAAACCTGTGTAAAACTTAAATCAGTGTTACTGCTAACTATTCAACTTCCATCTGCCATATTGATCAAATGCTTACTTTTGTTTATTTTAAAATAAAATTGCAAAACTTAAGGTAAATTTTAAATAAAGATAAGTGACAAAATGAAATGTGTCCAATCATTAAATGTTTTGCAGTAACATTGCGATTTTGCATAACTGTCAGAATTTGCTTTAGTTATTACCAAGCTATGATAAATCCTACATTAAATCAGTGTTATTGCTAACCATTCAAATAATAGACTACAAATTAAAAATACATGTAATTTCTTTGTTCATTTCAAAATAAAATTGCAAAAGAAGTACTCCTAAATTTTTGTTAAAAGATGTGATAAAATGAAACATTGGCGATCATTGAAGAGGTTTAAACTTTGCAGTAACATCCCAATTTTGTAAAACTAACAACAAAACTTAGGAGTCTATTTGACGAATGTTTAATAATGTGGAGTTAACCACTTAGCTACTATTTTATCATTTCTAAGGTGGATAGCTAATTATCTAAGCTATTACTTTATCATTTCTAAGGTAGATAGCTAATTATCTAAGATACTACAGTGTAACTAATTATCTAAGCTAGTTATCTAAGATATTACAGTGAAACCTCTAGGGAGCGACCTCTCTTTGTTCCACAGTAAAATGGTCGTTAACAGAGGTTGATCGTTCGTAAGGGTTACCTCCATTGACTTCAAAATGTTATTGAAGGTACAGTAGGGAACCGATTATCCGGAACGATCGGGACCATCGCTATTCCGGATAACTGATTTTTTCCGATTTTCTGAATCGCTACAAAAAGCTGTTTCTTTTATTGTTAAACCCAACTTAAAAAAAAATATTTGGAAATAATCTTAAAAAGAAGAAAAAACGATGAAGTAATACACTAATGATTATTTCCAAAATGATGCTAAGGTAAACATCTTTCAAAAAAGAAAGAAAAATCCTAACATTTTTTTAAAAAAAATGGCTGGAAAATTTATCAAATTTCGTTCCGGTTTTATGGTTTTCTGATTTCCGGATAACGGGTTCTGTACTGTACATGATTTTTCATGCGATTTTATTTTCCTCTGTGTCCTTAGCAAAAATACCACTTGTGTCATGAAAACCTGATCGATGAATAAAATTTGGCTTCAATAAAAATGATCCCTACTAATCTAATTATATGTAGAAACAAATTTTCCAATTATGGATGATAGAACTATTTTAAATAATAAATAGTTCTATTTTTCATTTAAATTTGGATTTAACTTAATGCTAAAAAAATTAGTGTACTTTAAAAAAAATGAGAGGTTTGTTTGTTAGACATGCTTAGTTTTTTCTAAAATAATATTTTTTCTAATTTAACTTTTAACTCTAAAAATAAATCATTGATAGCTTTGGTTTTAGTGTACTCAGACTGTAACAGGAGGTTGTCAATCTCTTTCAGCAATCGTCATAAAGAGCTCTCTAAATAAGAGCCACTTACAAATATTTTGAATACATTTGAATCTGCTTATTTCTTTTGTTAATATTTTTTTTTGATAAAGGTTTTCTTCAACACAAATTCTATGGAAAAAATTCCGGGCCTCCCAAAAGTGGTCTGTCCTGGTGGTTTTGCATGCTGTATACATTGTAATGACTTCTTAATTCTTTATGTTACAAGCTGTTTGAATTTTTATTTTATAATCATTGGATAAATTAATAATGAATAATTTCAATTTTCTTTTTTACAAAAACATATTTTGCTTACACTTTTTATGTAAGCATTTTACCAGCTATTTTTTTATAGTTAACCAATAATATTCTGTGATGAAGATCTTCTTCTTCTTCAGGAGTGCAACAGCCCTTTGCAGGCCTTGGCTGCCTCAACAGCACGCCTTCTCCAGCTCCCTCTGTCCATGGCAACTCCCCTCCAGTTCTTAAGTATTAGGACTTCGAGGTCGTTTTCGGTGTCGTTGAGCCATCGAGTAGGTGGTCTACCTCTAGAGCGGGACCCCTGAGGGTTCTTGAAGGTGGCAATTCTTCAGAGCCTCTCCATATATGGCCGAGCCATCTTAGTCGGTTGCTTCGGATTATCTGCATAATTTGAGGATGTTTATAGAGCCCATAAAGTTCAAAGTTGTACCGTGTTCGCCAACATCCCCCCTCTGGTATGGCACCAAAAGATAGTTCTAAGTATCTTTCTTTCAAACGTTTCTATCGGGCGTTGGACGTCAAGGTTTAAAGTCCAGGTTTCGTTTCCGTATAGCAAGACAGGCAGAATGAGTGTCTTATATAATTTTAGTTTCGTTTTTCGGTTAATAAAATTCGATCTTAGTTGACTTTTTAGTTCAAAAAAACATTTGTTAGCCAGATTGATTCTATTGTCAATTTCAGGTTTCAGTTTGTTTTGGTCATTGATAATTGTACCAAGATACTTAAATTCTTTAACCTTTTCAAAGGAATGCCCGTTTATCTGCAAAGGTTCACTATAGTTTGCAGTTGAGCTTGAAAACTCCATGAATTTGGTCTTGTCTTCGTGATGAAGATGTTGATTTTAAAAATGAATAATTGTTCAACCTTTGTTTTTTTTTTTGAAAATTTAATTAATTACAAAATTTTATTTTGACTGCATGCTAGGCTGTACAATGGTTATTTTATTTAGCAAGTAATAATAAAACGAAAAAAAAAATTTGCCATTCAATAATGTATTTTTTTTTACAGAAGTCAAAAGTGAGCATGCATCAAGAGTATACTGTATTTATATAAATTGTTTCATTCCAAATAAAAAACCTTTATTTATTGAAAATGTCATTTACTGAATAATTATTAAATGATTTCTAAATTTTATGTTTTTTAAATTTTTATGTTATCATTTAGCTTGTTCTATGAGTAATTTTCTTTAAAAACAATTATTACTTTTTCTTTACTTCATTAGTTAATTATAACTTACAATAGTTTCATTTTTTCTTTAAAAAACTTAAGACACTTCAATTATATTATTTCTTCATCCATTTTAATAATTAAAAAATAATAATATATTGTTTTATTATATTTTTGATAATTAACAATGGTGCAACTAATTTAATGTGTCCTTTTCTAATAGTAACATTACTAATAATAATTCTAATAATCCATAGTTGATTAGATTTTATTTTATAGCTTATTGATTTTTTTTTATCATTCAAATTTATTGACAAATTTTTTTTTATATTGCTAGTAAATTATTTTGGTTATCACTAAACTACATTTGTAAATAAATAGAAGAATTTGAAATTATTTCTAATGTACAAAAATAATCTATTTTGATGTAAATTGCATTATCAATTTTAAAAAAAATATTTTTTTCATTGCAACAATATTTTAAAAATACAAACTATTTTTTTTTCCATGTTAAAAATTACATTTAGGTAAAATAAAAATTTCTCTTGTTGCGCTATTACTCCTATATGTAACTCATACTACTACTTTATTATTTGCACTTGCTATTATATTACCACCATTCCATTCCAAAAGCATATTGTTTTCTTTTGTAAGGTTTTTGAATTTTCATATCACTTTTAATAGAAATAAAATTTAATGTTACTGCTGCTGCTATTATGAATTGAATGATATAGAATAGAGATGGTTAAAATTAAATTTATCTTATTGTTTCTTCAACATTTCATTTTCAAATAATTTTTTCTTTTTTTAAGAAATGAAAACTATGGTTTTGTAGGGTTTAAACTATATTTATAAGAAAGATAAGTTATTTTTCATAAATTGTAGTTTTTCTTACATGTTCTTTAATTAATTTGTAAAATTTTTTAAAATCTGTTTCCATTAGTAGTTTGCTATTTTGTTTGCGTAGAAGAATGTGCTGATATTCAGAATTATGTATTCAACTAAACTATTGACTTGGCTAACAATTCAATGCTACATGTTCTTTCCAATCACCTAACATACAGCAGCTAAGTGAACTTTGACATACAGATCAAGGTATATCTATTTTATTTATTTATTATTTTTACTATCAATTATCGGTACTCTAAACTCTTATATATGTAGTAATACTTATTCTAACCAGACTTTATTTGTCGTTACTGAATGTTACATTTTCAGTTAGAACCAAAAAAATAATATATGCTTAATTTAACTTAAACATATATATTCCATGAAAAAAAAATCATAATATATTTTATTTATACTAAAATTACTATGTACAAAAATTTTAGGAAAAGAAGTATGTTCACATGTTTCCTTTCATTTGCCACCTTTCCTTTTGATCAAATCTGAAACAAAAAGAAAGCAATTAAGTAAAACTTACGATATTAAGATTGATTATAAAATTTACTAATTATGCTGCCAATTTTTGAGTTCTTTGATTCATTTTCGGCCAAAGGTGTGTAAATGCAACATTAAGCTGTAAGTTTTATAAATAAAATAAAAAATAAACAAAATTTCGTAAAAAACTAGAATTCAACTAAATGGTTTGGTAAATGGTACACATACACATTTTATTTCTTAAATAAAATATTTTACATGCACAAAACTTTTTTTGTCTTAATGTAATTTAAGCATATTTCAATGAAAATATATTTTATAAAATTTCTATGCTTGGCCTATATATAGTAGGTTAAACAAAAAGCAAGAGCAAAAACAGTACCTGTTGATCTTAAAAATAAACTTGCTTAAACTTCTTGCAAATGAAATGCATTTCTGCTATTCCTTAATTAAGTAGATTAGGGGAACAGTGAATGAATATACAAGTGGTTTTTAAAATATTGTTAACATACATTTAGACAGACATATATACAGATGTAAGTTATGTAAATTAATACTGATGTGAGGAGATTTAAATTAATAGTACTTAAATAAGGAAAAAATGCTATTAAAATCTAACAAATCACAATTTGAAAAGGTGCATAAAACACTAAAATCTACTTTATTAGAGGAATTAAGGGAAAGAGTTAGAAGATTGAGATAATTTTTTATTTAAGATACACCTTTATGTTTCACTCAGCTATCATACCAGTTCTGATGCCCTTCGTTAATTATCATTTGTCAGATTTCAATTGTATTTTTTCTTTCCATTTTCCTCACTTAAATATTCATTTGTTACTCCCTCTTATGCAAATTTTGTCTTTATTTTTTATAGTGATTCCAAAAATATACATAAAGGAACACTTTGGTCAATATAATAACTCATGCTATTTGCAAAGGGGAAATCAGAACAGTTTTTGCTATTGTTTTCAGAAAGGTCTTTAGGTCATTTCTTAAAAAAAGATTACCAGCCTTCCTTTACTTTACTTAAATGCATGTTGATATTTCTTTAGTGAGTAATTCAAAATAGTTCAAGAAGAAAAAGAGTAAATAACAAAGAATTCAGTAAGAAACTTGCTAGATTGTGTTTCTTAATGATTTGGAATGTACATGAATATGTAAATACGTTTAACACATTGAGAGAGAGAGAAAAAAAAGCCTTGTTAAACTTATCTCTTTAAATTTTTCAAAAAAAAAAAAGTAGATACTTAAGGTTTTTACAAGCACTATTGAATGGAATATTAATATCTTTTCATTGCAGGACTTTGAAAATAAGAACAACTAAAAATGGGTTGATGAAAAGTAATTTTTTTACCAGCTTTATTTCTGTAAAAATGCTCCGTATTTCGTTATGTAGAGATTTTCAACTTTTCAAGAAACTTGCTGTGGAAGGTAATTCTGGCTCTCTCTATTGTCAAAGATAATTGTGAATCATCCTATATATGAAATAGCAACAAGCAAAAATATTCTAATATATTTATATTCGAATATTTCTGCTTGTTGCTATTTCATATATAGGATGATTCATAATTATCTACTCTGATTAGTGTTATTGATATTTAAGTACGGAAAAACAAAGATACCATCAAAATATAATGTATCACTACTAGAAGAGGAAATGCTGAAAACACCAAACTCTGTTTGATTGCTGAAGAAAACAATGAGAAAATTAAAGAGTATTATAAGAAAAATCTTGGAGTTTCATCAGATATCACACTAGTTTTGAGATTTTTCTATCCCACTTTATTAATGTATGGCAGAAATCAAAAAAATTTATTTGTTTCTTGCTTTATTTATTAAGTTGTGACTTTAAATGGGTTAACTTTTGACAAAGATTCTAAAAATATACAAGAGCAGTGTTTAATTTATAGGGTCGCTAAAATTTGTTAAAAAGAGACATGTCTGTTAAGAGTAAAAATATTTTATATAACATATTTTTATGATGTTCACTTATACTAAATATAATATCACTATAGAATAAATTTGGAGGATTGAAAATTTATAAAACAGTTTTATTTTTCCCCCTACTGTTAAGATATACATTAAGTTATATAAGTTCACCTTGTTTCAAATTTGTACTTTACTACAACTGTACAAAATTAAAAGGTTTTACATATTATGTTACTTTAGCATTGAAAGACCAATTTAAATATAATTTGGTAAGAAAATATGGTGGTTATGATACAGAATTAGAAAGTAACGGAGATTACAGAATTGTACAAGAAAAAAAGGTTAATAAATTTTCTGAGTATAGTGCAGGAAGAAACGGTGTGTCCTGAATAACTTTAGATGCAGTGATCTGGTCTTTGCGCACCAGGACACAATCTTAATTGTCTAATTATTTGTGCATCCATTATTTTAAGTTATGCAAAAAATGACATGATTGTGAATTACATTATTAAAGATAGTGAGCATCAATACTATAACGTAAAAAACATAGAAAACTTCTGTTTTTTTTTAATTACTGGTTAAAATAATGATTTGATTACTTACTATAGCTCATAAAAGATAATGCTGGGTAACAAATTTTATCTGTTACATGAAATTTTTCAACAGATCTTAGGTACTTTTTTTATATTGATTATTTCAAATTTGCAATCAGTTTTAATCAACTTTTAGTTGAAATACATTATATGTAACAGGAGGATGTAAAAAATATTGTAACAAACTTTTTATAGGTGTTAGGACACATTATAAGAAATAAAATTACATAGGAACTCATGCCTGAAAATGTCATCATATGCCACTAAAGGCACTTTTGCATTTTGAATAGTTTCTTTGTGTGCTTCAGAACAGTTCATAATTGGGAAGCACCCCTAGCCGCATACAGCAACATTTTTATGCAATTTTCTTGCAACATTCACGCCACCCCTGCTATATGTAATGTTTTTAAACATGTACATTTTGACTAGAAACATCATTTTCTTTAAAAAAAATTATGTAGCTTTAAGAGTAAAATTAATTTCAGATTTGAAATTCCCGCACATGTCAGGTCAGATTAAGTATTTGTATAAATGCAATAAAAAAATTTGTTCCCCACTGTAACCTAAGATATATGAAATTCTATAAAAAGAAGTACCAAACATACAAATAAAAATCATTCAGAATATTAAGTTCATGTTATGTATTCTTATTTCATCTGTAATTCCTTTTCAGGATTCAGACTTTTGGGGGAAAAATTTTCAACTTCAGAAATTTCAACACTTATTTTTGTTTTGCACATTGTATCAGTTGAAAAAGTGTAATAATAAAATTATTTTAAAAACTCTAATGCATTTCATTTTCTTTTAAAGAGAACATCTTTAAAGGTTATAGATTCTCATTTATTTAATCACTAAGACAGAGAAGAAAATTAGTATTAAAAATTAGGAATACATAATATGATAGTTTGATGGCATATAACATCAGAAAAATGAAGGTACTTACGTCCATCTGATTTTCTTGGATTTTTTATCCTTTTCAAGTAACTTTTGTTTTTCTAATTGTTCATGACATCTTTTGGCAGAAAATGCTTTGGTTATTTTTGTTGCAAACTAGTAAATGAAACATTTATTTAATTAAAAAAAATACAATAATGACAATACAATACAAGTTATTTTAAGAAAAGTTTTTAAAAAAAAGTGAATCATAGAACCATTTAAATACTTTTAAAATTTTATAACCGGCATATAACTTTTTAAAATTTTATAACCGGCATTGAACAGCTGACCCAATTTTGAGTTTACAACTACCAATGTTCAACTCAGTAGCTTTGTAATTTTGAACCTAATCCAGAAGACAAGGGAACTCCTGGAACAAGTATTGAGAGAAATTTGCCTCCGTTGAGAACTCTTTGATTCTCTAACCCTCATTTGCTTTACATGGAGAAGAAAGCCATGAACAATTCCCACGGTAAGCCTAATGGCAAGGAGAGTCCCCATGATTCCTCAACTACTTAGGATATTTTGCGTCAACACTGTGGTCAATGCAGAATTTGTATTGATCAGCTATCGCTGGGATTCAAATTTGTGTCACCTCTTTGGCAGGTGAGCACTCTATTTCCTGAACCACCACGTCTTACTGTGCAAAAAAAATTGCTTTGAAAAAGATTAATGTTTTATATGTATAGATATTATTAAATCTCAAATTACTAGCCCATAATTTCAAACTAGAGAGAACAGTCAAAAGGTTCATATTGAGCATTTCTTGTATTACAACAGCTAATTAATGAAGAATTAAAAATTTAAAAGAAATAAAATAATCATCGAATCTACAATAAAAAACTTAACTACACAGATATGAAAATGATCAAAAAATTATTTAAGCACACTTTTGTGCAAATTTTTCTTAAACAATTATATCATTTAATCTTATGCTTATAACTGGTTTAAGAAGTGTATCAAAATAATAGCATGATAAGCAAAAGGTTAAGTAATGACTTTCTCTAATAGTAAACATAAAAAATTACTCTAAAATTTATTCACAGAACATTTACATTTGTGAGAAGCTTGGTTGAATTGAATTTATTTTATGATCAACTGATCTGAATAAAATGAAGAACAGAAATTTTACAACTGTATTTTATAGTTTAAAATTTAGGAAAAAATAATGAATAATAAGTAAATAGGTATGTTTTAAAAAATTACTTAGATTGGAACAAAACATTAATGCTGATGGAAAGATTACGTAAATGAAGTTTTGAATAAGGCTAAATTATTTTTGAACTGTATAGGATTAAGTGGAGTGGATAGGATTTAGTGATGAACTTTAATGGAGATTTTAAAATTTTTTTAACTCAAACAGTGGGAAATTGTTTTTTCTTTCTTTTTTCTTGGGGGGGGGGGGTAGGAACTAAGATTTAAGAAACGAAATATATAGATATTTTCAAAGCAATGTGTTTCCCCCCCCTATTTTTGTAAACAAGAATTTCAAGCTTTAATAAAACTAAACTACAGTTTTAATTTGAATTAAATTATAAATATAATATTAAAAACATTCTTAAATTTTCAATATTTTGGAAATTTAAAAGTTTAATGTTATATAATTACTTTTCTCATTAGATAATATAAATTTGGAATTTTTTTAAAAAATAATTTAAGTAAATTAGTAAAATTGAGCAATTGAATGTCTGCATAATGATATTATTTTAAAAAGAGTCATCAATCAAAACAATTCTGTTTATAATAAGAAATAAATAAAATCATAAGCACAACAAGTTTTTTAAAATGTTATATACTTTCATAATATAGTATTATTAAATGAATAATCACATAGTGATTTTATATAAACATTTCAACACCTAAAACTTGTACACTTGTTGTAATAACTCGCATAACTAGTTTTAAAAAAATTCAAAAACATCATTTTAATTAAAAAAAAATTTATTTGTTTTACCAGTTAAGAAATTATGCTAATTTTACCTCGATTATGTGGGACTTACGTGCTCTTTTTCAGATTTCATACTTTCCTTTTTAAAGTTCAATGAAATAAACAAATTACCTGTTCCATTATCATATGTTTCACTTTATTTCTTAGTCATTTCTATTATTTATGCAAAAAATATACTTTTTTATCACTTTCAATACATACATCAATTCTTTAATAAAAGATTTTAGGCAAGACATTGAAAAAGTTTATACACAAAAATTATATCATGTAGAAAATTATTAATATAAATTTTTTATATGAAATAACTAGTCAAGTTTTAACTTTATGAATTTTTATAAACTAAATACAATTACCTCACGTTTTGCGAGTGTATCACTTAAAAGTTCTGCCTTTTCGAAATCTCCTTGTTTGATAGCATCGTCAATAGTACATTCTATTTCTGTCTAGAAAAAACAATTAGACTCGTTTGTGAACAAAATAACACTAGAATAAAAAAAAAAAATTTTCTCGATTATTACAATTACATGCAAACAGAGTTACATGCCATAAACCTGAAATAGTGATCATCCCGCTAGGCCCAAGCTAATATTGATTTGCTTCATTCAATTAAAAACCTTAATTATATCATTATGATTAAAATATTTTTATAGAATTTCATATTGTATAATGAATCATATTGAAGACATGAAAACAAGTAATTATTTAAATTTATATAGGGAACAACCTATTAGCCCAGTGCAGATGTAATGTTGCTTGGGGCCTTCGCCGATAAAAAAAACAGAAGGCTCCTCACAAGATGGAAGAGGGTGAAAAATTACAAAAGCTTAAAACAATGCTTGAACTTAGTACTTATGGAAAGTAGAACAAAACCACATGCTTGTTTTCTGTTATGTATTTTATAGATAATACAATTATAAACGAACAAAAATATTTAAGAAAGAAACAAAATATTTAACTTGTTTAAGAAAGATTAAAATTTTTAATAAAAAGTTAGTAACCCCTGGGCCCCATCGTTCCAGTCTTGCCTTACATGCAAACTTTACAAAATTTGTTTTTTATTCATAAATCATGCAGACATTTTTAAATGCAAAAGAACATTTTTTTTTAAATTTAAGGATAGTAAGCATTATCTTTTACATACAATCACTTTTAAGAAAAGCATTACAGAATATAAAATAATTCAAAAAGCCTAAATAACATACTATTATCTGGCACAACACAGGCTTATATTTTTAGAAGGAGGAACATTTTAATTTTGACCAATGAAATTCCTAATTTGACTAAATTATAATTATTCTTGTGTATAATAAAGCAATAGATACATATAATAAAGAGCGACTACACAAGAAAATTTAACTATAAATAAGTATGCCATAAATAATAAAGCTGCAAGCTTCTCTAATTTTCTTTGATATGTTAAGTAATAACATAATTTATACTTTGATATTTTGTTCTTTGTTTAACAAATTTGATTTAAAATGTTCTTGCGCAGTATCATACCAAGATTAATTTAAACATATCTCAACTATTCATCATTGTTTATTCATTATTTAGGTGCTGCTGAAATTTAAGAAATTTCTGCTTACAGTTGCTAACAATTTTTATTTTATTACCACTAGAAAAAAAAGCTTCAAAATAAGTGAGAGCGTTTTAAGCTAAGAAATAAGTATGATATGTGTGATAAATATATAATATTAACAAACAAAAACAAGCATATTTTTATAAGTCTAATCTAAATTAAAATCATGTAAACTAACAGCTACAAAAATAGATTTGCTATAACCAATAATGTATAAAAATAAATAGAATTTTTAACAATTTCATTGATTTATTATTCGAAAAACGAACTATGTGATGTACCGCTAATATGGCCAAATAGTGAAGAGAAATCAATTATTCAAAGCTTTTAACTGAAGATAATAAATATATCAAAATAAAATTATAAATAAATTTATTTATTTCAAATTTATTGAAATCTCTTAAAGTACATTTGAGTAAAAAAAAAAAAAAAATATGGTAAACAGCCATAATCTGAGAAGAATTTAATGTGCTAATTATTTAGAGCAGATGATATTTTAAGCAGCGAAATCAGACACAAAAACATACTCTCTTTGAAAAAACATTCCTTTTTTATCCAACGGATTATGAATCCTGACTCTCAAAACATAGAGGGTAGCCACAACTTGGGAAATACAATTCTAATATGGTCAGGAGAGCAGTCTAAAGTTTGAATCATTTAATGCTAATTTTATTTTTTTCGTATTTCAACATATCTAAAGAACTTTTTAAGTGAATTGAAAAAACTCTTGCACACAATCATGAGATTTTATTACCTAAAGTAGGGATATAAGGAATAGTGATTTAGCAGAATAACCGAACACTGAATATTTTGCTAAAAGAATCGTTCGAATACCGAACATTCGGGAGACCAAGTAAGCAAAAATTTTTTCAATAATCATAAATAAATATTACTTTTTATATAGAAATAAGTTTAGAGTCATAATTGAAAAATAATCAAAACTTAGCAGTATTATTTGTGGAATAGAGAAAAAAAAACTTTAATAAAAATGCTTAAGATAAAAAAAAAAACTGACATAGTTAAGTTGATAGAAAAAAGTAATACTCTTAATTCTTAAAACAAAAATGCTAAAAATAATATTTTCCAGATAAAAATTTATCCATAAAACATTAAAAGAAATAATGTCTATGAGAAAACACTTTTAAAAAAGCAGCACTATCATAAAAACACCTTTAAAAAACTTAGATTAGATACATAAGCAAAACAGAAAAAAATAAAATTGATCTTAATTTTTGAAAGAAAGCTAAACATTTCAGTTTTCCAATTTACCATACTTTCAAGAAAAAAGTTAAATTAAAGTCAAATAAAAATCCTCAATTCTCTGGGACCATTTAACTGATTTCGTTCAAATGTCGTATTTAGCCACATAAAATTACATTCTTTAAAATGATACAAAAATTTTCATACCTTACAATTCAAATTTTTTACGACTATTATTAAATTATTATTATTAATTTTTTTTTAAGTATCAAGTCAAAATTTATTAAAGAAAGCTGAAATAAAAACAATAGAAGATGAAATTAAAAAACGAAGATGGAGCTGGCTCGGACATATCCTTAGAATGCCCCCCAAAAAAAATTTCATCTGTTGCGCTTACATGGGCCCCTGATGGTAAAAGAACTAATTGAAGACCCAGACTTACCATCCAGCGCATGTTTTTGGGCGAATTAAAAGAATGTGGAATATCTGGCTGGGAGGAAGCAAGATCTATTGCTAAAGACAGGAGGCGTTGGAGGGATATGCTGGAGGCCTTAAGTGCCCAAGGCACATAGATAAGTAAGTAAGTAATTATTAAATTAAAAAAAACATTAAAAATTATAATTAAAATACCTTTTATTGTTATTAAAAAATATTTCAATCCACTTAAAATTTTATTTCTCAAGATGTAGCGGAATACACAGGTATTTCAAATGACTTTCCATTCAACGGCCCTCTTACTATTACTATTTAATGAATTACTTTTTCGCTGGCTTATTACCTTTGGCCCCCAATCACCATGAGAAACTGCAGTCTGCATATGATTATTGACATTTAAAAATGGTTTCACTTCATTCCACTCTTCTGCCTCTTTTTCATGAGCTTCATTTCTAAAGAACAAAAGAAAGACAGACTTAAATTTATGCCTACTCCACTAGTGTTTTCATAACAAGGATAATCTGAAGAACCAAAAAATATATATAATATGAAAAAAAAATATTATCAGAATAAATTTCCCAATCCTCCCTAGTGACTGATCTTAATTCAACAAAAAGCTATAGAAACTAGCAAATTAAATATATTTTAAAAGTTGCAGCTAATGCAGGGTAATTTTAGGCAGTCTTAAATTAAGTAAAAAGGGAGTAGTAAGATTTTGACCCTTCTACCCTTCTGCGGTAAGTTTGGCTAAATCAATCAATGGATGATCAAGAGATTTTTTTTAAAAATACTTTTTAAGTTCTTGCAATTTGACAAATATGTTATTTTTGTTACCAAATGAAATGATGATTGAGTGTAATGGCGATCAGCAGCAAGAATTGTATTTTCTAAAAGATTCACTAAACTATTATCTCAAGAAAAACTCCTTCAGTATCTTAATGCTAATCACAAGAGTATTTGTATAAAAATGATCTATCATTTACAGATTTAGAAAAATTATAAAAGACAGATATGAAGCTAAAGATAACAACAATGAGATAATAACAATATTTTCATTTTTTGTTTTTGAACTCAGTATGAATAATTTTACATTATATTAAGATGTAACAATGTAATTTCAATAAGCATTTTGGGAAAAGCTGTTGATGTTCCATGAAATGTCAAAGCAGGATAAAAGAAAAGATTTATGCAATATGATTCACTCAAGTAAGTTGGCATGATCATTGAAATTGCAATCAAAATGCATCCTTAATACATGCTGTTAAAATGCAATATAGAGTGCCATTTAAATTATAATTCACAAATAAAACCTGTAATAAGATTGTAACACAATGTTCAAATTTATCTATAAATTAAATGATTAATTTGAGTTCATATCATACCTTTGTAAACAAAAAAGCTCAATAGTGTAACATCTAAGTTATCTTGATTATCGAGAAAAAAAAAAGAAAAAAAAAATTGACATTTTATGGTTTATCAATTAAATTGAATAATTATAATGATAAATCTTGATGATCTAACAATTTTAATTACTTGTAACAAGTTGGGTCACAATTACTTTAGATTAAATGGCTTTATGATAATCTAATAAATGTGAAAAAACAATTACAAGTACTTTAACAACAAACTAAAAAAAATCATTAAAAAATCAGCTATATTTTTAATTGCATCTATTAATTATTACATTTATCAAATATTTCTCAGTCAAGATGAAACTAGATTTGGAGAAAAACTTAACATAGTTGTCAACTGTTTCAAATTATAGAAAAATTTTGCAAATCAAGTGTTTTCAGTTTAGAAAACTTTTCAGTAGAATTTGTGACTGTCAATGTATCTTACAATATATTAGAATAGGAAGTTTGATTAAAAAATTGAACATGCCAAAACAAAAGTTTTAAAATTCTATAACTTTTTACAAAACATTTTGTAAGAAATTAGGTTTAAAATTATCACTAGATGCACTTAAGAGAATATTTTAAGGAAATTAAACTGGAAAATGATATCATTATGTTAATATTATCTTTACTAGTCAAAAAAAAAAGAAGACCAAACAATGATGGCTTGATTCTGTGAAATCAGATTTTAAAGTGATTGGGGTAAAAAACTGGAAATCTAGGTAAAAAAATAAGTTGTCCTGGTGGAAATTTCAACAGAATTTTGGCCATCCTGTGCTGTCATGCCAAATATGATGATGATATGTTCATATTCTGATACTAGGGGGGCTCTGCTCATCAAATCATTTTTGTTTAATAATGATGATAGTTACATCCAAATAAAAGATCCCTAAATCCTTTATTCAATTAACACAGATGTGAATCTGCAGATAATGATCCCAATCTCATTCAACTCACATTTAAACCTAATTATTTTGCAGTTATCATTACAACTTCGTTAAAAAAACTGTTTTTAAAATTCGTAATTATTTTGAATCACTGTGGAAATTAGTAATTACGTTTATTGCAATAAAGATACTTTTTAAACTATAAAAATAAAATATTTTTTTTTAAAAAATAAATTCCTAATATTGCTTTATGATCTTAGTTATTTGAAATTCGTTATTTTAATTGCATATGCTGATTGGACATAATTTCACTTAAAATTTATTATAAAAGTAAATGTAACTTATTTACCATTTAATAATTCTAAAATGATAATAAAATATGCTTTTTACAAAATGTTCAATAGTAAGTAAATAATATAAGATCACATACTTTAAAATAAAGAACACTAGTTTAAAGCTATTGATTTTAAATAGTAATCAAAATTAAAAACTTAATAATAGCAGTAAGTAATATCCAGAAAGTATAAATAAATATTTAACAGGATATTTATTTATCCCTTTAAAATTTTCATTACTTTATGTTGATGATAGTCAAAACACATCTAGACCTTTGTTTATTAATATACTTATCAAGAGATATTTTTTGGTTCAATGAAAATGCTCTAAAAGGTAAGTAGACAGTCATCTTTTAGTGATATACAGAAAAACCTAAAATAAAATAGTTGATGTACATTATTATTGATTTTATGGCCTCTTACTCATTTTCCTGTGAAGAAAGTTGACTCTTCTCAACTAATTCTTTTATAAAAGGGTCCCGCAAAGCTTTCTTCACAAGTTTCTTAGCTCTTCGCTTTTCAGCAATAAGTTGTCTTTTGGCAGAGTAACGTCGTATCTCACCAGATTTCTTCTTCAACTCTTCAAATTTCTTGATAAAATAAATCATAAAACAGTCATTTTCTGTACTCAAATATTTTTACATTTTATATACGTAAACAAGTATTGGGAAAAATTACAAATGAAAAGCCCTTAATTGATAATACATTATTAGTACCTAAGTATTTAATTATTTTTACATATATTCTAGAAAATGTTGGAAAATTCGGGGTGTAATGTTGAGTATTTGGGGTTCTGGTGTAAGAATTTTGTGAATCATTTTTTTAAAATTATCATTATAGATAGAAATATAACCCTAGTTACAAAACTCTCAAACATTACGTTTTAAATATTTGAGTCCTTTTATCATTAAGAAAACTGAAGATAAATATTTGACCTCCTAATCAATTATGTTTTGACAAGTAAAACTTATTTACTTGATTTACAATTATAAATCACATATGTGCGATTTTTATTTAAACGTTTTAAGAATTTTCCATTTGAATAATATCTTCATCAAAATCACATTTTTCACAATTTTAACCCCAGAAAATTACACTTATTATGTCTGTTAGGTAATGTTTTGAGTTTGCACAACTGTCCTTCTCGAAAAAAAAAAATGTTAATCTTAAATTGTTATGAAATCACATATTTAAATAGTCTTATTCATCTTGATTAAAATGGATATTTTATTGCTTTATCTATCTCAATAGATCAGTCGATCAATCTCAATAGATTAACTGGTCGAAAGTAGTAACTTAGGTAGTTGGATACATCTAGATTTTTGTAATTTCTTATGAATATTATCACAATAAAGTGTTTTTCATTTTTAATCTTTAAGCTGTAATATCAATTCAGGTTGTGGCATGCATACAGTCATTCTTACTTTTAAAATTATATATCTTAATTTAATTCCATAATATGAAAAAGAAATCTTAACTAAAATGACAGACGAAATATGATTATGAGGCATCCAGCATCCATTTTTAAGAGGTTGAAAGAATTTCCTTCAGGTATGAATAATCATCTCTCCATGAGTACCCATTTACTTTAGTTAAAAATGTATAATACTTTATGTTCAAAAGACGGGAGAAATAAGAAAAATGTCTATAAATATGGGTTAGATACCCTAGAAAAAGATCATACCACAGATTTCACTAAGATAAATTAAAATTAATTCATATATTAATATACTTCATATTTTTGGCAAGTTTATTTTAAAAAACACATTGAAATGCACTTTTTTTTTAATTTTTAATTTAAGAATTATTTACAGAACAATTAATGTTTATAAAATCAGCAACTACTTTTATCGATGCAACTGGTAATGTTGAAATATTTACATCTTCATAATTGATTTGTTTGTTACTATTTCTGGTTCGGATTCTTTGTCAACTGATTCTACAATTTTAAACAGGAATTGTTTTCAATCATGCAAACATTTTATATTTTTAAGGAACGTTAAAAGGTATTATATACGTTTAAATTATTTATAAGTGGTAGAAGGAAAAATCAATTTTATAAAACAAAATAAAAATAGTTACATATACAATTAGTTTCCAATTTAAAAATAAAACTGTTACATTCAAGCAGTTTAGTAACTTACAAAGCAATACTCCAGTTCTGTCTCGCGAGTGGCATAAAAAATGGATTCATTTTCCAAAAATATTTAGCAAATATGCATTTAAGCCTGAAATATCTGCTAGCTAAATGTGAAGATATAATAATAATTTCAATTATAAAACATTGTTGACATAATTGTTCTTCTTGGGAATCCCACTTACAGCAGTTCAGAATTATAAATTAAAGAAAGATTAGTATTCTAGGAAAAAAATCAAAACTTTTACACACAAGAAAGGGTTTTTGCCATTCATTATAATAGTTTTGAGAAGGTAACTCTAGATAACATTTGAATGAAAATATTTTGAATTTCTTTATCCACTAAAACATGATTCTTCTTTAATAATAAAAAAATTAGCTTTTCAAGGAGTGGTGTTATTTTTACTTTATATTTGTCTACAACAGAATGAGTCTCGAGACTGTTGCTTATAATCTGGTTAGCTCTATCAGGACTTTCTTGTTTAAAAGACTTGCGTTTTTTTAAGGACCAAATGCAAGAGTCTATTTCATCTGTATCAGAATCAGACGAAAAACTAGCTTCATCAGCCATTGTAGATTTCTAATGTCGTTCTCTTTTCAAACTTCATATAAATAACGTTGAAATCTTTTTTTAATTTGGACTGGTAGACTGAAAGATTCCTCTATGACTGAAAGGTTTGTTTATTAAATCGCATTTGGATGCTTAACTTCTTCAATGTTTGGTTCGAATATATTTCCTTAAAAACCCCGCTATAATTTGTCGTTATATTTTTACTAAGATGGTTACACAAATATGTCGCAACTGCGTTCAGACGTTTTATTGGCAGTTAAATATCACATGACTTATAAGTTTTATTTTCTACTCTGTAACTGTAGTACTCTGAACTTCTAACTGTAGCTTCACCTGTAAAAATTCATTAACAAAATCAAAACAAATACAAAATGAAAGACTGACATCTGTGTTTGTAAATCACATATTTATATACAATTACTTTATTTTTATTTCATGCATCAATACAAATGTTTGATGTTAGACAAAAAATGATCTCTTATGTTAGTCAAAGCGAGTTGTAACTATGCACATATTTTCTTGGCGATTCTTTCGATATTTCACCTTTAGCATTCTTGTAGCTTGTTTTTTTATTATTTCTTTCTTATGGTACTTTTGTTCCAATCAATCATGTTCACTAAACAGCTATTTACTATCGAACAATAACAACCCTCATTGGCGAAAATTAAAAGCAAATCGTGAAATTTTATCGAACTGGTCTATAGCTAATAAACCTAAACCAGTTAAATATGATAATCAGGGTGGTAAAATAACCACCTCTAAAATAACTGTTGCTAAATCGGACTTTAATATAAAAGGATCTGATGTCATTGTGTTTCTGCATATTCAAAACACTGGAGGTAGTGTTTTCGCTCGACACATGGTAGAGGATTTGCAACTAGAGAGACCTTGCCAATGTAGAAGAAATCGTCGAATCTGCCGTTGCTATAGGCCTGATAAATATGGCAGTACATGGTTTTTTAGTCGGTACACTACAGGATGGAAGTGTGGAGTTCATCCAGATTGGTCTGAACTATCGAACTGTGTTGATCATATTATGGATGAAGATGAAGGAAAGCCTGTAAAGCGTCGGTTAGTATTATGTTAAATATTTTTTTTTTAATTTCCTAAGTTATATATAGAGATTATATAAAGATTTAAGTGCTCTAGCTACTCTAAAAGTTTTCGAAATTTTGATTATGAAATTCCGTCGTCAAAGACACGAAAGTTAGTAAAAACATAATAAAAATTATGAATAGTTTTGTAGATTAAAAGTGAAATCAGGAGGTGACATTTAATTATAGAGATTTTTATTAACTTGTTTTTCTCTTACCTTGTACTATTGCAATAAAACCAGTTTCAAAACATAATACAATTTAAAATTAACATAATTAACAATGTAATAAAAACATAATAAATTGACATAATTTAAATGAACACAAGTTAAACTTTCGTCTTTATTAATCTATGTGATGAGAGTGTGAAACTTTTTACTGCACTGCATTGATTTTATTATTACCTTTGTAGTCTACAATTAAAAAAAAATCAATATCTTATGCTAAATAAGAATAATTTTACTGCGTATGACTCGAGCAATAACATGGTGGGGGATCCATTGCTGCATCCACCAAAAATTGCTGAAGGTGCAGGTAGCCTTTCAAAATCTGATGGTGTAGAATTTGAGGCTGCAAGTAGTAGGCTGCTCTTCATTACCTGCTGATACTTTCAGCCCAGTTAATGAAGCAGGTGAAGAAATTTCTTCAATTGATTCTACCCAAAAAACTGTTGATGTGGAACCCAACTTGGAGGCAACAAGTACATCAAATAAACATAGAACTGTATTTGATCAAACTTGGTTGCAAAAATTTCAATGGCTGCAACATTGCAAAACGGATGGTAGGGAAATTCTATTGTGTAAACTATGCATGAAACACAAGAAAAACTCTGGCTCTCCATGGGTGGAGAAGGGTTGTGTAAGCATCCGTTTAGATAAAATTAGAGGCCATGAAAAGGCATTGGCACATCTTGAGGCAATAACCACTGAAACCGATGCTAAATGCAATAATTTAATCGATTCAACAACGAATGAAGATACAAAAACTTTCAAGGCTGTGACTGCAGCGATGAAGTGTCTTAATTTTTCATTAAGCATAACTTGCCACACACTACTTTTTTTGAGCATTTCATAAACTTTTGCATAGATGATCTGAACTGTACAATTTTAAAACCATTAAAGAAAGCGAAAAATGCTGTATACACCAGTTACATAGCTGTCAATGAGCTGTTAGAGTGCATGGCCAGCGTTCAGGAAGAAAAAATTCTAACTGATATCAACAGTAGCCCTTTCTTTTCTGTGACTATAGATGAAACATCCGACATTAATAATAAAAAACATGTGGGTGTAGTCGTCATGAGAGATGGAGAAACAAAACACTCTTTTGTAAGAGATTGTTGTCTACCAGATGGAAAGGCAGACACAATTTTATCGACCTTATCAGAAGTTTTCAATGACTGTGGTTCCATAAATAAAATGTCCGCATTCGTAAGCGACGGAGCCAGTGCTATGGTAGGAAAAAGAGGGAGTAGTCACAAAATTAAAAAAAAGAAAACAACAAAATAATATCTGTAAGTTGTATGAACCACAGATTGGCATTGGCAACTAAGGATAGCTTTGAGTGCCTTAAAAGGTTCGTTAAAGTGGACTAGATTGTATATAGTACTTACAAGTATTATAAAAGCAGTTCAGCTAGAACGACTAGTTTGAAAAATGCTCATAATTTATTTAATGTAGAGAATAGAGGTACAACAATTAAAAGAGAGGGCTTCACTAAATGGTTATCCCACAATGAAACAGTAAATTCAGTTCGTAAGAACTATGAAGCCATATTGGCTGATTTAGAAAACGCTGCAGTGAATGACTCTTCAAAACAGCTTTCCAAGCCAACTGCCAGCGGTATACTAAAGCAATTTCAGAGTTATGATTTTTTTAAAGCAATTCACTTCCTATGTGATGCGTTATCATCAGTCACACATCTCAATTTAAGCTTACAGCAAGAAAACATAGACATAGGATTGATAGAAACAAAAGTACGAAGCACTTTAGCTGAATTGGAGAGACTTAAAAAGAAACCCGATGGGACTTTTTGCAAAATGTTGGGGGAACATGCTCGACTCCTCAATATAATGGCACCAATTGGACCGAGCGATGGTGCTTTTGAGGAAGACGCTAAGGAGTTTTTAGATATTCTAATTAAAAACATATCAGAAAGATTGGAAAATCAGTAAGTGATATCACATTTGAGCATATTTAATTTAACAAGATTTGTAGACGGATTGTCAATAGACTTGTATGGCAATTCAGAAATAATTGAACTCNGAGTTTTTAGATATTTTAATTAAAAACATATCAGAACGATTGGAAAATCAGCAAGTGATATCTCATTTGAGTATATTTAATTTAACCAGATTTGTAGACGGAATGTCAATTCATAAATAATTGAACTCGCTGATTATTTTGATTTTAATGAAGATAATGGAGTGACTTTAAAAATCTTTATCTTTCCATGTCTAGTATTCCAAACAGTGTTCTTGATATCAAAAAACTAAATTCAATAATGCATGAAACAAATAGCTCCAGTAGATTTCCTCTAATTCCCCAATTAGTAACAATAGCAAATATTTTACCTGTATCTAATGCAGAAGTTGAAAGAGTGTTTTCTCAACTTCAATTGATTTTAACAGATAAAAGATATTCTATAAAATTAAAAAATGTTAATAGATTAATGATATTAACGTTGAATAATGAGTGTAATTTTGTTGCTGCTGTAAAGAAATGAGGAAAAGACAGTTATTTTCATAAATGTTATTTATTTATTTATTTTTAATTAGTTATTCAAATATTTTTCTTAAAAATAACCAAACCTAGTTTTTCTTATAAAAAATAATTTTAATAATTTAAATTCAATTTAATAAAACCAGATAGAAAATATAAAATTTTCTTTCTTTTTTTAATTTTGAGCTTCACACTACAAAATATTATTTTATTTTAACAATTTGCTTACTATATAATTAAAAGCATAAATTATAGCATACGTTTTATTGAATTTTGTATGTTATTTAATAATTAACCTTTAAAAATGTTTTTTAATTTGTATTGTATTAAAAACAGTTTTTTTATGAAAATATCTTTAATAATTTAAATTCTTATTTCTTGCATAAATAATTTTTAATTTAATATAATCAGATGAAGAAATATGAAATTTTCGATTTTTTTTTTTTCAATTTTTAATACCAAATGTGACTACAAAATATGTTCATTTAAGCAGATTTTAGTTTCAGGCTTACCTAAAAAATAAAAATAGGAAATAAAAATAGACCACCATTAAATAAATGTTTTGATAGTTTCTTAAATTGGTTTAATATAATATTGGAGGAGAACTGAGTTTCTTAAATTGGTTTATATTGAAGGAGAACTGAGTAAGATGCTTTATTGAATTTTGTACGTTATTTTTTTAGTTAATCTTTTAAAAAAAAAATATATATATATTCTTGATTTGTTTGGTCTTGAAAATATAAGCTCATTTGAATTATTATTATTTTTTTTAATGTATATTATTTAATGCTGCATTTTCAATTATATTGTTGTGCTACTTAAAGCACCTATGATAAAATTAAGAACTGAAAAGCATTCTTTTAATTATTAAATCATTACTATAAGTACACATTTCTTATTTTAATAATGTATGCATGCATATTAAATAAATTACTAAGCTAATTAACTTGATTTATATGTTAATTTATGAATAAATTTTTCTAAATAATATTATTGCTTTGGTATTTTTTGTAAAGTAAAAACAGTTTTTTTTTCTTTTACTAATTGACAATGTTTTTTAATGGAATGTATAAAGCCCATAGAAAGAAATTATTGCCTTTTTAGAATAATAATGCCCTTTCTTTAAACTTTTGCACCCTGCCTAGAAGGAGCTCTGATTCTATGATCACTTCTAAGTCTTAAAACTATAGTGATGCAGTTTTAAATGAATCTATATTTAAATGAAATAACGAAGCCCAGATAATCTATTGTTATTTAAGTTCTTTCAATGATGAAGTTCTACTGTAAAAACAAAATGAATGTTTTTGAAAAAAATCATATTGTTTTAATATTAAAAATTATTACTGTTATATTTTTATTTGAATTTAACCTTTTTAATAATCCTGTCTATTTTTTTTTTCGTGAGTAGGACCAGTTTAATGCACTCTTTAGGATAACAACTTATTATTTAACTATGTTGAGAAGTTTGGGATGATTATCATAACTACATATCTTTTAACAAGCTTTTACTGAGCATTAAAATATGATAAATAGACAATATGTGGTTGATGATTGTATACATGTTTTTATCATTATATAAACTCTTATTTGCTAAACGTTCAAAAATTAATTTGTAAGTCTGCGCTATTTCTAACTTCTGCCATAGAAAACTTCTAGTCATTGTTTTATCACACTTATATTTTCATTTCACTGACATTTTACAACGGAAAACAAATTTTTTTGGTTGTATTTTGCAAATATTTGATGTTGTCTAATTTGAGTATGGGAATTTCAAATCTGAATTTAGCTTTGCTCTTAAAGCTGTAATTTTTTTTTAAAATGATATTTTTAGTCTATATTTTGTTGAAATGTTCAAGTTTGAAAATGTTATAGGAAGAAAGAGTCACATAAATGTTGCAACGCACTTTTAGGGTTGTTAGGGTACATTATCAGGAATTAAAATTGCATAGAAACTCATGCCCAAAAATACGTGGCTGAGGGTACTTCACTATTATGATCCGTACAGAAGTATACAAAAAACACTTTATAATAGGGAAATGCCCCTAGCGACATATGACGATATTTCTGGGCATAGGTTTCTATGCAATTTTAATCCTTATGATGTATTTTGGAAGTTTGTTGCTACATTTATGTGTCTACCTTGTTATACATAGCATTTTTAAACTTGTACATTTTGTCAAAAAAAGAAAGATTAAAAATGTAATTTTTTAAAAAGAAAAACTGGATCTTGGAGAAAGGAACAGATTGGAGATTTGAAATCAATTATACAAAAGTATTTAATATGTTTTTAAATTTCTCATAAAACAGAAAACAAAAATTGTGCCACAGTGTAATCTAAATCCATCTATGACAAATATGTGAATTTTAAAGACATAAGTTATTCTACATTTCATGTAAGCAAAGGTGGATAGTAAACAATCATTGTTATGAGATATTTCTTTCTGTATATTTTTAAATTAAGGCTAATATTTGTTAATTTTAATTTAATTTTGAATATTTTTATAATGATTAAACTTTTATCTTTGCTTAGGTATTTCTTTATAACTGTTTTGCGAGACCCAGTGAAACGCTTTTTAAGCGAGTTTTGGCATGCCAGGCAAGGACAAAGCTGGTCTTCGTCAAGGCATTGGTGCAGTGGGGTAGAAGCTACTGAAAATGAATTGCCAGTTTGCTTTGATGATAAAGATCTTAGCCAGCTTACACTTGAAGAATTCATGAATTGCAGTTATAATCTGGCCATAAATAGACAGGCTCGAATGCTCTCTGACCTTGCGTTGGTTGGCTGTTACAATTCATCATCTTTATCTAAAGAAGATAAGGATCTCATTATTTTGACTAGTGCCAAAAACAATTTGCATAAAATGTCGTTTTTTGGCCTATCAGAATTTCCTAAAGTTTCACAGTACATGTTTGAAACAACATTTGGATTGAATTTTAGAGGCAAGAAATCTTCAGCTCGCGATGGTTCCAGCAAATCAGCTAGGAAAGAATTATTCAAAGAGATCAGTGCCAAAGATATTGAAACTATAAAACGTCTCAACTACCTCGACATTGAAATATATCACTATGCTAAGGATCTCCTATTTTTCAGATTTGAAAAACTTAAAGAAATTGATCCATCCTTTGAAAACAATTTTGAAATTTTAGATGAAGATAATCTTTCTTCTGAAAACTGGGCTGATAAGGAAGATTTTATCGACAATTTGTTGGATTAAAGCATTAGCATATCAGTAACATTTAGTGCCAATAATCATATCATATGTTTGCATGTTATATGTGTTTAGTTTTGTTTATTTTTCCAAAAATGGAAAGCTATGTTATTGTGTGTTGTTTTTAAGCTATTATTGATATACTTCATATGGCATACTACTTTATTCTTTAAATAGTATTTTTGCTTTCTTTTTACTCTTGCTTTTTTGGCAGCTATTCTATATCTACGCAGACTGTTTAAAGTCAAATAAATTAAAATATTTACTGCAGGTTAGTTAATAAAATCTAAAAACAACATTAAATATATTTGGTTCTTTCAATAATTCTTTAATTAATCAAAAATTAAAAATCTGACAATTAAACAGTAAAGTTTGTTTTATTTAACTAGTATGTTTTTAATCATATTTATTTAAAGGAAAACATTGATATTATTAAAATTATAAATTAATTCAGTATTATTTAATTTTTATTGCTACATAAAATAAAAACATAATTTTAAACTATTGAACCCTATTATTTTTAATATTTTATCTGATATGTGGTGTTGACTATGATTCTAAATTATTGTGCTATTATTATAATTCTAATTAGTAATCCTAAATTACTTTATAATTATTTCCATGACCTTTAACACAATTTGCAGAAATTACTTGTAGTCAAAAGAACATAATTTTGCCTTCACCTGTTTTTGCATTTAAATTTTTTTTTTCCAATGAAAAATATCTGTTACTTCAAGTATATGTTTATTAATTTCTTTAGTAATTGTAATTTTTTTTAATTTAAATTTTTGCTTGTAAATTAAAGAAATATACTTGATGATTTTTAAGTTGATTCTAATAAACATTAATAATTTATTTTTTAAAATCAGTTATTATATGTTCAAAACTACTGTAGAAAATTATTTAATTTTTTTATAAACTGATATTAAATTTTCAAATGGTCCATTTTGTTTCAATCAATTTATTAATTCCAAACATTTATTCTCTTGAAAAATGTATATTTAGTTTTAAATTTTTTTTAAAGAAATGTATAGAATTAAATTATTGAAAATGATCATTGTTAAAAATTTTTACAATAAGTGGATACAGCAACTAATTTTTTTTTTTTTTATTTTTTAAAAAAAGTTATTTTTACACATTGAAATTATTGAAAAAAAAAATTTTTTTTTTCTCTAGAAAAATATCCTTATAACAGATTATGCACTATGTTTTCAATATTTTTTACCATAAGAGTTTTTTAAGTATTTTCTTATTAGTAAAATTGTGCTGTTAAATAAAAAATTGATAACAAATTGGAAAGATTTGATTTCTACCTATACAGCTAACATAAATATTCAAAAGTTCTATGCAGTTACTAGTAAAATGAAATTTTATACTTCAACATTTTGTTTTGACATAAATGCTCAATATGTAATGTGATGGAATACATCAAAGTATTTGTAATAGGTATTCTTATATGTATAAACAAAGAAATTTTAATAATTTCATCCCAAATTTGTGTTGCTTCTTCTTATTCAGTTTTAGAATCATAAATATGTTCAAGTTCAAAAGACTAGTCATTGTTGTAGATGGCTTAGTTCTGACAATCATGTAGTGTGAAGCTATTGTTTATATTTTTATATTAATTTTATGTGAGTGTAATTTTACAGGTAAAAAATAAACATACATGGATGATAATTTTGATTTGTCTTATTAGTTTTTGGAGATGATTGGTGTTATATTCAGTGTAATTGAAAAATGTTTCAATACAATATATTTTAATTAATTCTATCATTATCAAGCCTCCAAGAATCTGAAAAATGACCAAGGTAGCCAACAAAAATGTCTGGTAACCAATAAAAAATATCAACATCTCCCCCATTCATTTTTTCCAAAATTGAAATTTTGTTGCATACATTCATGCATAAAAATAAAATACCTGCGCATTACAAAACGAATGAAATACTAACTACAACAGGAAAAAAAAAAGACAATTTTAAAAGAAGTATCGAAATATTTAAAATTTATGAGACTTGGTTATTGTGATGTAATTTTTAATTTATAGAGGAAGTAATTTCTTTGTAAACTGAATTCAAAACTGTTAAATTATTGTCATTGAAAATAATTATGTAACAATTATTTAATTTTTTTTTTATTTAATTTAAAATACCGAACCATGATCGTTCAGACCTCTTTCAATAACCTGAGTAAATAAAAGTTAATACTTATTTTTTCTTTCCCTCTTTATAGCTTAATAATTTAGGGTGATGTCTCAGTTCTACAACACTTTTGTCTTTTCTCAATATTAATTAAATATTGTAAATAATTTTTAAGGTAATAACAGGGTGGCCACTCAAATCAGATTTCAAATTTCCCTGATTTTTCCAGATAAAAATCTTAAAATTTCCAGGTTTTCGTTTCTTTTTTCTTATTAAGTGTAGGATGTGTACAAGAAAAGTGTCTATATTATAAAATATTTTATTCAAAATGTTATTTTGACAATTTGGCAAGATTTTTTATTTATTTTTCAAATGTTTTGGTACAAAATATTGACCAACAAAAGAGTAAAATTAAATATTAATATATAGTTGGTTCTTAAAAAAAAACATTTTTTAAAAATATGTTATAAAAGGTTAAAATGAAATAGAAAAAATTAGCATTAATGCAACAATTGTAACGATTTATCGACAAACATTGCTGTCAGCGATGGTAAAAAAATGTGTGATTGGTTGGCTTGCTGAGAAAAAATAATTCACAGATTTCCTTGAATGGGAGTAGAAAAAATTTCAGAAAAAGAGTGCAATATAAAATCTATTATCAAATTATAACCAACTAATTTTTGGAGAATTTTATAAAGTTAAAAATACAAAAACATTTTGTCAAAATAGAAAAAAAAATTACCACCAAAGCATCGCAACAAACTTGAGCCATAAATGGATTCAGCCCAAAGACAGCATTTAAAAATAGAAGCTAATATCCTAAATCTTTTTCCACCTACACCAGAATCTTTCCTAAATTGCACAGTCCCGTTTCTGCATTCGTTTAGCAACAGTAGGAGAATTTTATGTGGCATTCTAGTTTAACAGCTGTAATGGAGCAAATTTTGATGCAAGCAAAGTATAGCTAAATTGATGATATTTCAACTGTTTGGCGATACATTTCCGTTAAAAAAAGTGGATATAATGGATGAAATAATTTAAATTAAGAAAATTAGTAAATAATTTAAAAAAGTGAAAATAAAAAAATTATCAAAGAAAAAATTTCCATCTTTTCTTTAAAATTCCCTGAATTTTCCAGGTTTTTATCCAAATTTCCTTGATATTTCCAGGTTTTTTCTAGTATAAAAAAATTCCCTGATAATTCCAGGTTTTCAAGGTGGGTGGCCACCCTGAATAATGTTTAAGAATTTAATAACTATTGCACTCTACATAGTGAAGTAGGATCTTCATAAGAAATTCCATCGATGCATCCTTTAGTTTAATGAATAATTTAGGGAAGGGTAGATTGTTTTATAGGTCTATAACATGAGGCTTTTATAAAGCCTTGTGTACAGTTTGACTTACTAAGAACTGACCTTTTATTTGCGAGTAATAAATAAAGTTTGCTATTTTAGTTAAGGTAATATGAAAATTTCTTTTCTTTCATTCGAAAAGTTTAGATTGGCCATTAAGACACCCAAAAGGAAATGTTATACATAATTATATCAATTTCTAAAGTTCATTCAAAATGGTTGATGATTAGAGCAATTAACATCTATTAATTGAAAATTTCGATTGTCAGCATTATATTTGATCAAAATTACTTCAGTACTGCTTTATAATCATAACTAATAAACAGTATCAAAAGCTATTATTTCCCCCCCCCCAAAAAAAAAGCAACCCTTAGGGCGAAATCAGGAAAAAGAACAAAAATAAAATTTGAACATTAAATAAATTAGTTATAGATCGAATATTCAACTTCGCGTCCAAGATTACCATAGTTTTTTTTTATAAAAAAAATGTGGCTAAGACAATTATCACGAGTTAAATAGTCTGCTGCCTGATAAATTTGTTAAGAGTGAAAAATAAATTTATAATTTGGAAATGGATCTCCTTTTATTTTATAACCGTCGTTGAATAGCCGTCCCAATTTCAGGTTTACAACTACTAATGTTCAACTCCGTAGCCTTGTAATTTTGAACCCAATTCAGAAGACAGAGGAACTCCTGCATCAAGTATTGGGAGAAATTTGCCTTCGCGGAAGACTTTTTTTTTTATTCAATTACCCTGCATTTGCGTTACATGGAGAGGAAGACCACGAGAACCTCATACGGTTAGCCCATGATCCATTAACTCATTAGGATATTTCACGTCACCACTGTGGTCGGTGCGAGCTGGATGCGGAATTTGTATAGACCAGCCATCGCTGGGATCCGAACCCAGTTCACGTCAATGGAGAGCGATATGCTCTATTCCCTGAGCTATTGCGGCTCAATTTTCACTGAGCCATCACGGCTCTCTTTTTATTACAGTATCTTTACTTTAACTGTTTTCTCGCTTCCTAAGTTATTTTCTGCTGGTCTATGAAAACTGCCTATACTGCTAATGTTAAAATATTCCAGACTTTAAGTTACAGTTTTTAAGAAAATCTAGCTTTATACGGCGACCTTTCTGAAGCAAAAGTAAATGTTAGGAAGTTCCTAATTTAATTTCTAAAGAGTTGAATAGCTTTGACTAAACTGCAATACAAATGGGGTTAATAAAGCAGGCTTTTCCTAATTTGATTTCTACAGAGTTGAACAGCTTTGACTAAACTGAAATACAAATGGGATTAATAAAGCAGGCTTTTCGGTATCCAATAAGAATTTTGGAAGCTAAATAAAATAGTTCACAGTAAGCATCTTACAATATCTTTTATAATAAGACAATGTATGCACAAACTAATTTGTATGTAGTATTTCAAAAGTAATGAGCAGAAATTTAAATATCCTTTTATCTCAATATGAAGCAAATAGCAAAGGAGATTTTTTTCTCTCAGAAATTTAAAGATTTATTTTCTTTTTGCTAGTCTCCTTCAACGAATTGTGAAACGTTTAAATTAAGAACAATGCTTTGATATTCCATGTCTACAAAATAAGCTTTTGCAGAGTGTTAAGTAAAACGGATGAGAAATTTAATATTTCCTTAAAATTTAAGGTTTTTTTCTTTCAAGCAAAATGAATCCAAATTTTAATTACATTTAACACAAAAAACTAAATGACCATATTATTTAAGTATCCAAGTTAATTTTCATCTTCAGAAAAGCTAAAGGGTAAAAGAGTTTCACCGTTTTACAAAGAAATTTATTCAGCTATATAATTTAAGTTTTAATATTTAAATACATTTT